GAGTCAGGTCACATCTCACCTGATGCTGCCTGGACTTCCTCTATTCAATCTTTTGTAGCTGAAAGTACAAACTGAATTTCTGTTCCAATGAGCCACTGTGGTATTTGGAATATCTGGAGATCAGTAATCTCATACGCACGCGCAATCAGTTACCGACCCCGGAAGGCAGGAAAAACGTAACTAACTCAGGGGGGTATTTATTAGAAGAAAGCAAACGGATTGAACAATGCGCACAATGAGCAATAATTGGTTTAGAATGTATTGACCAATCGGTATTTTTGTTCGTCTAACCACAGTAGATCTGAATGAACCGCGAAGAATTTAATTGGTCCAATACAATGACTGCTTATCGATCGACTTAAAACGGAACGGATAATGACCTACACCGTTTAACCACCAACACCAGTTAATGAAACATCAGTTAAATGAAAAAACATTTTGAAACTATCTTGGGCAAAATTTTGTCACCGGTGTAAAACCCGTTTGATCGAATTGTTTGAATATCTCACAGCCGTTAGATTTATTTTCGGTAACAACCCATCGTGTTTATCAAATCTAAATCAGATGTATGACCAATTTTATTTTTCTGATACGTCAAAAAATGAAACGTGGTACATGACAGGCCACCAGAAAAGTAGCGTGGATTGTGTAACAGCTCATGTTTAATGTTCATGGTAGATAACACCCAGAAAACTGATAAGGGATATAACTCAATGACAGCACCTACGGCTCCGGTTCGATACCTCGACCAGGGTAATATTGGACGTCGTGAGCATTATGTTCTAACTCTAAGCGGGAGAAGAGAACAAGATAAACGCTATCAATTGCAAATTCTCCGTCATCTTCAAAGGGGAACTTCAGAACAAACAAGGGGAGAAGCTGTAAAAACGATAAACCAATTCCGTTTACCCAAATGGTTTAGTTATTCCATCAAAATCAAACGCATATAGTTACTTATATTTCGGTAAATTTACCACATGAGTTCCAAAATCTCTACAACCAGCAACCTCTCCAGAAAATGCCGGTTGGTTTCGGGTAAAAATGTTAGACGTTTTACACTCCTATTTTTTAGCGCCTATTAGGCTTGTCTGAAAGTGAAACACCATCAAGTTATAAAGGGATTGCAGATGCGGTCCAAACTGAAATTTCTTAAATCCCAAAAGAGTTCTGGATTAGTCATCGTGACCAAAGGGAGCTATTAAGAAAAAATGAACCAAATTTTGTCGAATGGGAGTGATCATCTAATGAACGACGTGCGTCGGAAGCTCAGAACCGCATTGTGTCGAACATATTCTGCCGCACAGCTTCAACTAATACCATAACTTGTCAGTTTAATTTGTCTGGAAAACCGAAAACAGAGCCAGCCACCCATTTCTGCTTCACGTGTTCTTCATCAGTTCACATGCAGTTGCGGTGACACTTGCATCCGTAGAACGCATCGGCCGCTGTCACCCCGGATGTCCGAACACATTCCCAAGTGGTTATTACAGTCAATGTCGCAACAAAATATCAAAGATCAATTTGCTAAGAGAAATCCAGGATCATCAATCACAAAACATCTCTCAACATCGTTGACCCACTTTTGTCGTTCAAGCCGTTGTTACGTAGCATGAATCCAAGGCTCTTAGCCTTCAGCGAAGCTATGCTAATCAAGTTACATAATCTAATTTTGTGTGTGCAAATGTTTCTGATGCCATCAGCCAAAAGTCGTGACACTTATTCTAAATTCCTCTCCCTTGACTGCTGTACGTTTAACCACTGTAGTTATCAAAACTACCAGATTGTTTTACGTCGTACTGATTAGGCGGATTGAAAGCGATATTGAAATTTAGCAGTATTTTTCTTCTCGCTTTTCCAACGGACCTTACAAAAGAAATCAATTGGTACAGAGCAATTGAAGTTATTTGTAGCAATTCTCTCTCAATTTCTACTGGTCCAATTTAACTAGGCTAGATACGATCAATACTGGTTGCTGTTCAACCTCATTGAAACCTATGTGCGTAGGCAGAAACGACGATGATGTTTGCATACATTATATGGCTCTAATAATTAGACCAATTTGTTTCATCTGATTACAATTCAGTGATATTTTGTACCAAACCAACGACATGTGAACTAGAAAGCCTTTGTGTTATGAACAGTTCTTTTCATTTAGTTGGGTCTCGTCAGTAGTGCAAATCCATCCAACCTACCAAAGATTAATCCCCAGATCTCACAGGTAGAACGCAAGTCTACCATTGACTCAAACTTTCGGTAGTTCGTCCGGCCGTCTTCCATTCTGTACGTGCAGGATGTAGTCCAACACATCTTCCAGCGCCAATCTTGTTGATCTTTGTATGTCGATTGTGGAAAGTTCAGTAGCCTCGGTGGGATTCGAACCGACGCATCGACGCCGCCTACGCTTTGTACGCGCACGAGTACTAATATTTTACTTAGTTTTCGATTCCATATATATGGCGAGATTGATCATATGATCGAATCCAATGCTGCACCACTCTTGTTTAAATTAAAATGAGGTATTGATCCATACCACTGATGTTCAACGACGAAAATAAATGACTAAGCATAACAAATTACAGACCGTTCGTATGTGTTGACGAGCTGAAGCCTTGGTTATTTTTTTCTCCAGCCATGTTTGCCCGAATAGTAGTATCCCGACAACTTCGCTTACAATGCCCAAAATCCGTCAACCACTCGTTCGATTCCATCTCTAAACGACCCGTGCGAAAAACAACCGCGTTTGAGCGAGACGATATACACGGTTTTATGGTGAACGTCCACATTGGAATACCACGCGACTTACCGAGTTTCACGACCCACCGAATACAAAGTGCTTTACCGAATAAGGTGAAAACCCTCCTAATCCGTCGTGTTCTATTTCGCTGAACAACGTCGGTATAAATACTTACGGTCTGCCCGCGGTTACCGTCAAAGTGTGAGCGCAGTCCGAAAATCAAGTATGCAGGACGAGAACCACAGGGACTATCTTCGATACTCAGCTTTCAGCGATCGAGGGCGCGGGGGAAAGGACGGGGTGGGAGGCCAAAACTTGAACTGCAACTCGATTCGGGTTGTGCTCTTTTTCTTTCGAGAAAACAAATAGCGAATGCATGCACACAGAAAATCAGCAAGCTTTGGATTACATGGATTGGCGAATAAGTGAAGCAAACAACATACAATACGCATGGTGAACGAGCCAAGTTGCATACATCCGGATCGGGACAATGCCGGGAAGCAAAAGGCAAACAGAGTCAGCTGGACCGAGGGGTGGGTTCTGTAACATATAGCGCAAAAAACATTTGATAAAAGCACAAGTTTTATTCTTGAATTGCATTTTACTAGGTCATGGGTAAGCGAGAAACGAGTGCAAAATCTGCTGGCATGTTACCAAAAACGTCAGAATGAAAACGGGGGCTAGGGGCCATAGCAACACAAGGCGTCTCGGAGTTATTGTCCTTTGCCATGCGTGTGTGTCCCAGATTAAAAAAACGTGTTGCTGATTCATTATTACACCTCGCAGGACAGGGTGCATGTGAGTAGGTGAGAGATAGAGAGGATTTCAGTGGCAAAGTTGAGATTTTCGTAGTTCACGGCTGCTTACGTGGTTCTTACCACCACTCGTTGTGTGGTTGTGGTTGTTACACAGCGTGATGACATGATCGCCAGGATGGCCACTTGCATGGCGAACACACACCCAACAGTTGCCAGGAAATACGACCATGCGTGACCAATGCTGCCGGTGAACACCAAAATACCAATTAGCAGTACTGTGCTGCCCAGATACAGGAAGATGAAACGTGTTGTGATGTAGCCGGCACTCACCACAAACACGTCCGAGCACAGACCGACCAAGTCCAAAATGAACACAATCGCCAAACAGACCACACCGATGAGGAGCAAGATGAGGACAGCAATCGCAGCATCTTTGTGATAACCACGTTGACAATTATCAAAAAGTCCTCCACAAGACCACGAGGAAGTTGCTAAACCGATAATCACAAGTGTGACAGCCAGACCCAACAGAATTGTAGCCAAACGACGTATTTCAATCATTTCGCTGAATGTGGCGTATGCACGATCAAGGAAGATGTATAAAACACAAAATTATGCCGATGGCAGACCACCGCTATGACTGTTCGCTCGACCGTTAGCATCTTTTCGACCAGCGATGAGCGTCACCCACACAGGTTTCTTGCTGATTGGTTGCTATTACGCCTACATATCCGCACTAGAGTGTGTCTACCAAACGAGTTAGGATGGTGGCCTGACAGGGCCTGGGACACGCATTCGATGTCAGATCGAAACCTAGTCCGTAAGCGTCTCCATTTGGGCAGATAGAAACCGGCAAAAACGGAGCCAGATAGTGTGCCTAAAAGGTGAGAGATACAACCGTACATGTGCGTTCTTCCCTGCTCCCGTGTGTGCAAATGGGCCCGTTCGATTGGGTGATTAAATCGATGAACTTAACCGAGGGCTGACGACATTCAATGTGATTTTTAGATGAAAAAGAATTTGCAGTTGACAGCAAATAGAATGTATACTTTCACCGTGAAGTGCGTATGTAAGAAGGGGAAAAGCGTACACAGAGTAAGGGTAGAGGGAAGACAAGAGATTGTCCAATTATTTCATGTCTATGTGGAAAATATAAGACAGTATATCAATCGATTGACTGCAGAAATAGCCTACTGAAAACAAATTGTCCAGGTTAATTCCTAAACCTTTGTTCTTATTTGAAGTCCACCACTAGCTAGACACAGTCACTAATTTGCGTTTTCTGCTAGTCAGATTGTACAAGAGAGGAAATTGAAAACACGGTGTTTCCGATGCGTTGATATCACAAATAGACATGTGAAATATTTTATGCAATAAGGTTTTGATCATATCTGTTCAGATTCATTATGCGATGTTATGAAGTAGGTAATAAGCTTAAGTAATCTTGGATCATTGATTGTATATATAACCTCTGCAGGGTGAATAAGGCGAAAACAATTATTATAATCAATTAATTTTTTGGGTGTGTAAGGTGTAAATGGATCCCGATATCCATACATTTACATGAGTTAAAATTAAAGGGACCACTATTACCCATGACTATTCATCCTTCGCTAATGTGTTTTTCAATCTTCACTCATTGCTCTAAATTTTTGTAACGACTACTGATAAGTAAAAAGTCACATCCTAACAGCTAGGTTGTATTGTTATTCTGTCGAAAAGTGTCTTCTTAATGGGCCGAAGAACCGACGTTGATAAACAATTCTGACTAGGTACGTTGGCAAGACTGACGGGAGGAGTTTGAAAAGGCGTAATATAAATGCGTGCGATGTCTGACTGGTGATGACAATGGGGAACGGTGAAAGCCGGAGTGATTGAGGAGTGAAATTATGGCATCAATTGGCGCTCAAGGTGCTTGATCACCCTCACCAAGCCGGCAAAATCTCAGCTACTTCTTTTAACTGAGAGAGCTGAAAGTTCTACTAGTCATTGTCTGAGCTATTCTCGTTGTTTTGGAGGGACGATTAATGGCGAATGCATCCTGGAGGTTGACTCTGCCTCGTGCTCTCCTGTATGCGGTTAGTGATAGTTATTGTGGCCTGTCGGTATGCCACGTCGGTTGTATCCACTGAAGTACAAGCTTGAGCGAGATGAGTTGTTGATCCGACCTAGCAAACTTATATGAGAATAAGATACAGGACAAAAAGTACCAAATCTAGCGATCAACAGTCAAAGACCGGCTATCCCGAATAGTTTCTAATCAGAGTAAGGGGTAGGAAAAGTGAATGGAATGAATGAAAACGCAAGTGCAAACTCGAAATGAATTTTGTCGCAAGGGTCAAATGACAGTTAAACGAGACGGATCATGTGATTGAACAAACTCGAACCCGTATTGTGTGAATGCGGATGGGGAACTGAACGACTGTCATATCGATCGATCACAACAGTAAACAGGCCACTAGAACCAAAAACAAGGTGAAACTGAAAGGGAAGGCGAACGAAGGTGATTTGGAATATTGACATAGCAGATTCAACAATAGTATTCCTGTATTCTATTCTGAAAATATTCATCGATCGTAGATGGGACTATACGTTGGGACTATAGATTCAACAATAGTATTCCTGTATTCTATACTTGAACACATTCATCGAGATCAAAAGATCAAGAGTCTGCATATATCATTGAGCCCAAAGCACCCATCATTCAGGTGCAGAATCCCGTATCGAAGTTAAAGAAAACAATTTACAATCCGGAAGTAACAGTTATTTGCGCCAGCGTGCCAGAACCCACAACAAATACATTGAGGGAGAAACACGTAGAGGGTATTGACGTTCACCCAGTTGGAATCATGCGGCTGTTTCGCCACCCATCGTTGCCGCATGCTGGAGAGCCACGATTGACTAGCGTAACATTTGCAGATAAGAAGGACCTGGAAAACTTCTCTCTAGTTGCCTTCTTGAGAAAGATTCGTTTAGATCAGGAACACTTCCAGATAGGCCCTGGACGGAGCGTAAACAATGTTGCACTAACCCAACAAATGCATGGCAATCGGAGAACAAACGGGTTGTTCTAATTCATGCAGTCCCTCAACTGGACGATCCAGATGAATCCCCATGCCAACAAAACGATTGTAACGAATGGAGTTTCATCCGAGAACTACGTAATTGTACCCAGGTTCTTACTACGGCAATTAGTCGTCTACTCAGCTCACCGAACTACCATGAGAACGAATCGGAGATAATGAGTGACCCTCGAAACGCCAGGGATGGTCAACTCCGTATTGTAGTCTTGGAACGAATATAGAAAAAGGGATCCGCTGAAGTTATGTCTAAGATCACCACATAATACTGTATCCGAGCAAAGTGCGAAAACGGAAACCGATACTAACACGCCACCTTCCTCGACCAGTGTGGTTTTCATCACTCCACATTCACCAAGCAGCACCGCCGGAGCCAATTCTACAAAAAAATAATGTTAGCCGACCGCAAGTTGGTCGGTAGGAACGACACCACGTACTCAGATAGATTTCTTTGCCGAAGATATCTTTCATGTTTTTATACCAATGAACGAGGTTACCTTAACAAATTCTCTGAGATGGAACTTCGTTGGGAAACTAATTGAATTGACATTGTTATTGTTACTGAAATCTGATTGACCACCGAAATTCTCGACTCGGAATTGGGTCTATGTGGTGATTCGGATCTACGAGATTACGCCTGCCCTGGAGCAGCGCGGTACAGTTTCCGGACATTGGTAGTCAATCGACCTTGAGCGCTGACGCCAGTAGCACG